TCACCCAGTCTGTGGTACTTTGCTAAGGCAGTCCTGGCAAACTAATTCAGTTTATAGTCTAATCAAAAATACAGACAAGCAAATCAACTAACAAATTAATATGCTAAGTCGAATAGAGATACATCTAGGATTACATCGGTGCAAAAAGGAGAAGTGAGAATTATCCAACTTCAACAAACCAATTTATTTTATTTGAAAAGAATGGAAAGTAGTAAGGTTCAGAAGTCTATTCATAATCAAATCAATATTTTGTACAACAAATGTCCATTGAAAACTTCTATGCAAGTTACCATACTGGCACCATGGTATATATTTCTAGCATACCCCATGCTCACACCCAAACAGATGGGTGTGACTGGAAGGAATCCCACAATCACACTTACCAGTCTCCTTTTAAATTAATCACTACTAATCTCAGGTATGTTCCTTCTTTTCCCTGGGTATATTCTTAATAGTAACGAAAGACTGCTGTTTCTCTAATATGCTTACTTTCCCACTTTCCCCCAAAAACCCATTTCACATCTTCTTTCTCCTCAAACTTCTAAAATCTCCTTTCCCATCCTCACTATTAGCTGATGACTTTGATTCCTCTTTCACTTTTTTATGTAGGAAAGGGAACAAAAAAGACATACAACATAGAGAAAATGAATAGCAAAATGCCACTAATAAATCCTACTTTATCAGTAGGTTACATTAAACATAAATAAATCACACACTCCAGCTAAAAGAGAGAGTGAAAGAGTAGATAAAATTACGATCTAACTAGAAGTTGTCTGCAAGAGAAATAGTTTAAAATAAAAGATACAAATATGTTACAAGTAAAAGTATAGAAAAAATTATGCAAATAGTAATCATAAGAGAGTTAGAATGACTATACTAATATCAGATAAAATCGATGTTAAGACAAAAAAAATTACTAGAGACAGAGTAGTACATTTTATGATAAAAAGTTCAATCCATCAAGAAAATGTGAGTTATAAACATATATTTACCTAACAGCATCAAAATAAGTGAAATAAAAACTGTCAGAATGGAAGGGAGTAATATATATAATTCAGTAGTAATGGTTGGAAACTTCAACACTCCACATTAATTAATGGATATAATTGATGACTGGTCAGAATAGCAAAAAGAATTAGAAAACTTGAACAACACTAAATACCAAGTAGACTTTAACAGGTATCTATAGAACATTCCACTCAGCAACAGCAGAATCCAGCAGAATTATATATTCTGACGTGTATGTGGAATATTCTCTAGAATAGACCATATGTTAAAACATAAAACAAGTTTCAATAAATTTAAAAGGACTGAAGTCATACAAAGTATGCTCTCTGACCAGAATGGAATGAAATTAGAAATCAGTAACAGAAGAAAATATGGGAAATTCACAAATATGTAGAAATTAAAAAACACACTCCTTAAACTGTCAATGGGTCAGAAAAGAAATCACAAGGGAAACTAGAAAATACTTTAAGCTGAATGAAAATGAAAATATAATATACTAAAACTTATTGAATGCAGCTAAAGCAGTGGTTAGAGGGAAATTGATAGCTGGCAAATGTCTGCATTTAGAAGGAAGAATGATCTCAAATCAGTAATATTGCCTTCTACCTTAAGACTCTAGAAAAATATCAAACTAAATCCAAAACATAGAAGGAAGGCAAGAACAAAGATTACAGCAGAAATGAATGAAATCGAGAATTTAAAAAAATCAATGAAACTACAATTTGGTTCCTTGGAAGGATCAACAAAATTGACAAACATTGGCTAAACTACCAAGAAAAAAAAAAAGAAGACTCAAATCACTAAAAATAACACTAAGGTGTCTCACAGGTTTTTGTTTTTTGTTTTTTGTTGTGAGACCGAGTCTCACTGTGTTTCCCAGGCTGGAATGCAGTGGCGGGATCTCAGCTCACTACAGCCTCCGCCTCCCAAGTTCAAGGGATTCTCCTGCCTCAGCCTCCCCAATAGCTGAGTCCACAGGCCTGCACCACCACGCCCGGCTAATTTTTGTATTTTTAGTAGAGACAGAGTTTCACCATGTTGGCCAGTCTGGCCTCAAACTCCTGGACTCAAGTGATCCGCTCGTCTTGGCCTCCCAAAATGCTGGGATTATAAGCATGAGCCTCCATGCCCAGCCAGTATCTCACAGTTTCTGTGTCATGAGCCTATGGGTTATCTGAGTACCCTGCTCAGAATCTCACCAGGCTGAAATAATGGTATCAGCTGAGCTGAAGTTATCATCTAGAGATCCAGATCTTCTTCCAAGCTCACTCAGGTTGTTGGGCAAATTCAGTTCTTTGCAGCTCTGGGACTGACGTCCTTATAGGCCGTCCCCACCTTAGACAGTTCACAACATAATTGCTTTCTTCCTCAGGGCCAGCAGTAGAGCCTCTCCTGTTGCTTTTTAACTTCTTTTAAGGGCTTACCTGATTAGGTCAGGCCCATCCAGGATGATCTGTCTTTTGATTAACTCAGTATCCACTGATTAGGGGATGTAATTGTTTTTTTGGTTTTGGTTTTGTTTTTTTGTTTTTGTTTTTTTGAGACAGATTCTCACTCTGTCGCCCATGCTGGAGTGCAGTGGCGCAATCTTCGTTCACTGCAACCTCCGCCTCCTGGGTTCAAGCGATTCCCCTGCCCCAGCCTGCCGAATAGCTGAGACCTCAGGCACGCGCCACCATGCCTGGCTAATTTTTGTATTTTTGGTAAAGACGAGGTTTTACCATGTTGGCCGGGCTGGTCTCGAACTCCTGGCCTCAAGTGATCCACCCGTCTCAGCCTCCCAAACTGCTGGGATTACAGGCGTGAGCCACCATGCCTAACCTAGGGGATGTAATTGTATCTGCAAAATCCTTTTTGCCATTCAAAGTTATCTAATCACAGAAGTGATACCCCATCATGGTCACAGGTTCTTACCCACACTCATGGAGAGGGTCTTTACTCAAATATCAGAGTGTTCCTGGTCACCTATTTAAATTCTCTGGTTTCATCCCTACTTACCACATATACCATCTTCCTCTCTGCCCTCCCTGCTTTATTTTTCTTGTCAGTCTTTAATATCTAACATGCCATATATTTTATTTATCTTACGTCATCTCTCTGTCCTATGTTAGCATATAATAAGTTCCATGCAATCAGGGCTTTTTTTGGCTTTGTTCCCTGCCAGATTTCCTGTTTCTAGAACAGTGCCTAGCACATACTGCATTTAGTAAATTTTTTCAGTTGATGAACTTTTAAATATTTGTAGAACGTATATTAATGTTGCCAAATTGAAATTATATCTCACTTGTCTTATTATTGAATTACATTTATCCTGCTTTGCAGATTTTTATTATAATCTCAATAAAAAGAATTGACTGTAGTTGTCTCCAGTAGACTTTTAAAAAATTTTCAATTAAGGTTACCTCCTTTAGAACTTGTTCTCTGTATTCATTATTATGTTTAAACTGATGTTACCTGTGCATTTATTTTTGAGAAGCAAGTCATTTATGCTTTTCAGATATAAAACTATAGGTGGCCTCACAACGCTTTAAATGTAGTATGTTAAAGGACCAAAAGTTAAAGTTGACATTCAATGAAAGAATTATTTTTTTAATGTTCCAAATTGGAAGGTTTGTGTATAATCCACTGGAAATGAAGAATTAAGAGTGACAAATACAGTGTTTCCAAATTTTAGGAAGGATTGTTATTGTCTGCAGTTTTGAATATTCTAAGACGATAGTCACTGTGTGTTTAATTCTCTTTTACTCTCTTCCTGCTTGTGTCTTTGTGTGTAAATGTCTGTGAATGTATATATGTGCAGTTTCTCCCAATTATCTTATTTCTATTTCACTCTATTCCTGTGGCTGTGTTGTTCTTTTGCTCATGCCAGGCCCTTCCTAATGTTGGCAAGAACAAAACAAAACAAAAACATAAAAGTGGTTTGTACATTTGTATTAGTATATTTAACTAAGTAGAATATCAGATTCTGTTTTTATTCTTGAGCATGTCAATTTTTTTATAGCTTTGGGAAACTTTTGTTTTTGACTTCTATTGATACAGTAATTTTCAGTCGAATAAAATCTGTTGTGGTTGGGCTTTGAAAAATTCCAGTTTTACAGTTAGTTCGTCATCCATATGATCTTAGGAAAGTTGGCTGATTTCTCTGATGTTTCCTTCATCTGCATGTGTATGAAAAAGTTAATTTCTATCACTGGGGTTATTGTGAGAATTAAATAACAAAGGGAAGCAAAAAATAAGCATCGGATTTTGAAGCTAAATCCCAGTTAGGTTGTGCCTGTTGAAATCTGAGTTCCTTTCACCTTTGTATTTGTAAGCTTTCCTTTTTCTCTGAACTCTTCCTTGGCATCCTTCCCTACCTTTCCTTTCTTCTCCCCAGCTGCCCTCGCTTTTTGGATAGGTCTCACAGAAGATAAACAGGGTGAAAAGTTTCATGCCGTAGCTCTTCTCTGTCAGCCAACCAAATGCTTTAAATCCCTCCTCGCCCTCCATTTGTCAGTCAACATGTACTTAGTAAGGGCTCACAGGACATCGAGTATTAGAAGAGATAGCTGAATACTTAATTCCACTTTGCAGTTATCCAGGTCTGTCATTCCTGTTCACAAATGGAAACCCAATCCTACCTGGAACAAGAAGATCTTATTTAGTGTTAATCCTGTGTTAGTGAATTTGTTAAATTAGTCTTTGCTGACACAGAGAAGAGAACACTTTGCTGTATGTAAAAGCTTCATTTTATTGTTTAATCTATGCTTAATTTCAAGGGCATTGATGGGGAAAGATGCTCTTTCAGGACAGTCAAGAAGTATCAAGTTAGGCCAGTAGTTGCCCTGAGCATGCTTGTTTAAGAGAGCAGATCTGACATGAGCAAGCGTCATTTTCAACTTGTTTTTTAAAGGTGCAATGGGAATTTCTTTACTGTCTAAAATTCCTTTTGCTATTTGAAGGGAACTAATGAAATACTTTAAAGTCATCCTTTTAATTGACTATAGTTTTAATTTATGTATTTATAGTGAACTGTATCCCAGTAAGTTTGTAGAAAGACTTTTACAGGTATGTGAAATATAAGATAATCTTATAAATTACAAAAGGGGAAAAAGAATTAAATTCATGGATAGGCTCATTAAAAATGAAGCTAATGTCCAGACTGGACAACACTAAAATAATGACTTGCCCACTTACCTCTGGTTGGACTGTAAATTTGACTTTAGGCCTTCTAGTAGTCTACCAAAAATGAAAGGTAGTTTTGCAATTTACAATAAGATAAAAATAAGACTATTGCTGAGGAAAAGCATAATAGTTCTTGCTACAAAAATCAGAGAGGAATTTTTCTGAATGAGTCCATGTGAAAATGATGCTGGGTGATCTAACAACACTCCAGCAACAACTTGCAGGAAGAGCAAGGGTGAATTTCATAGAGCTGTGTCCTGTAACAACTATCAGTACAGGCTCATGTATCACAACAAGCACTGTTCATAAAAGGAATAATCCTGTGGGGTGCAGCAGGCCCAATATGCTGTGATTCACAGAACCCAGTTTTCTGATGATCTGACTTGAATTCAGCACATATTTTAGAAAATCTGGCAAATGGAATGTATTTTCCTTGGTCAGTTATTCTTAAATGTCTTTTTTTCTTCTGAGATGAACTTTGTCAAATATTTGATAGCATTGATAGACATGTTCCAGGAGCAGAGCTTTTCATTTTGTTCCAGGTACATACCAACACTTATGCTTTAACAGAATGCAGTTTGAAGTTGGATTGACTTCTTTGAAAACTGAGAAGCCAAATAAGAATACTAGCCTCAAGAGTCCTTCAGCCTTATGGATGAGCTGAAGATGTGCCTTAGTAAAAAACTCACCCTAGTAAATGGTTTTGAATCTGTTTTAATGTGCACCTAGAGAGTAGCATGAAACCCCAAGGCTCTACCATGCTCTGTGTTATGGTCACAGTAAATTGAGCATGGAAGATTTTTCATACATATATAACCAGTTACCCACCTGGTGGAAAAACACAGGACACTCATCAAACTTTGTCTGGCTTTGAGCAGTGTGATTCCTGGTTTATCTTTGTTGATAAACTACTTGCCAAACATACACTGAGAAAATCAGATGAAGGAACTCATTGAGTAGGACTGTTATTTTATAAGTCAGTTAAAAATGACGGACCACTTACCAAAAGTAATATATTCGATTACAGAATCGGTGATCTTTAGCCCTTATTTTCTGGCAGGAATTAGTAAACAAAGGCATTCCTTATTAGTCATAACAAAATTATGGTACCCTAAAGTTTTAAAAATAATGATAATTAACTGCCTATCTCAAACTTAAGAGAATGATATGTACTAGTTTATACAAAATGGCATCATGTTATTAATAAGAAACAAGTTAACAAAAAGTAGGGCTAGAAAATACCCTCTTACATCCCACTTAAAATTTTTAATCACTCATCAAGAGCCTTTCTCCTTTTGTGACTCTTGCAGAATTAGGTGCTGATTCTGAGTAAACATCAATCTGTTGACAAAGAATTTGCAGTGGGAGATAATTATTGAATAGCAAGGTTTATGTTATTGTCAGAATTTTAAAACTGCTCTGACTTTGTGATACTCATTGCTATGACTTCTCCTGTTAATAATCTGCCTAGAAGTCTGGTATCTGATGCTTACTAACAATTACCATGTGGTCGCTTAGGGATGATAAGTGATGTTAATGAGGTCAAAGGCAGAATATCAGTTGACTAGAGTGGCATACTAGAAATCAGGAAATTCAGCTTCTAGCCTTGGCTCGGTCAGTGATTTTATGATATTTGTCATACCTTGTGAACATTCTGTACCTTGGCTTCTCCATCTGTTAAACTGAATTCATAATAACTGTCCTGGTCTATCTCACAGGAATGTTGCATGGACAAATTAGATAAGTGTAAAAGTGCCTCGGAGGTAAAGCTGCTCTATGAATATAAATTAGTGTGATATAGCTACTGAAAAGTATGTTGCAGAGGCTAGAATGGTTAGTCTCTGCAGGCTTCATGACTAGATAAGGGTTCATAATGGATTCCTGCCAAGCAAACCAAGCCCATCTTATCAGTTCATGACCATAAAGTATTTAATGGGGAAAAAAAAATCCCTTTACAAACATTTGTTACCTTGATACAAATGTGTGTTAAAAATCAGTCATGGTGGGGAGGGGGAAAAGGGAAGTTGGTGCACAGTATAAAATTTCAATTATGCAAGATGAATAAGTTCTAGGGATCTGCTGTACAACATTGTGCCCATAATTAACAATACTACATTGTACTCTTAAAAATCTGTTAAGAGAGTGGATCTCATTGTAAGGGTTCTTACCACAATAAAATTAAATTTTTGAAATAAATCAGTTATATTTGAATGAAATGAAATCTTTCCGAGTAGTTTCAGACAATCGATAATATCTAGTTTACACTTTCTGTAGTCATTTTGGAGGGTGAGGATTTGATGTGTTTAGTAAAGTTGAGAAATAAGTATATGAAAGAATGTGTGGGGAAGAGAAATGATTGTGGGGAAGAGAAATTGTCTCAGGTAATAGTTACTACTATTTTTAGCACTTTTGACTTACCAAATTGAGATTTTTGTTTGTTTCTTTTATAGAAATGTCAAAGTCTCATCTCTGCCTAAACCATGTATTTTTTTCTGGTTGCCTCATGTTCTGTCACAGTTACAGTTAGCATCCTCATTCTCAATCCTACCCATGGTGCAGACAGATTGCCTCATTTCAGCTCAATAAAACATATCACCAAATTCCCTTAGACAGAAAAAGGGGTGGGGAGTGCCCTTTCTTGAAGGAATCCCTGAAGTACGCCTCTCCCCTTTTCTCTTCACATCAATGCAGAGTCCCGCTGTGAATTTACAACACCCAACACCCATGAGTTCAGTCCTTAGGAAGGAAAATTGAGCAAGTATGTAATTGGTTGGACATTGCATAAAAGAGGTCCTATCCAGGCTAACCCTAGAAACTTTTATTCTCAAACTTGGCCTTTTTTTCTTCTGTCAGAGGACCATTCTTAGTGGCACTGGGGAAATCTTGGCACCCAGAAGAATTCAACTGCGCTCACTGCAAAAATACAATGGCCTACATTGGATTTGTAGAGGAGAAAGGAGCCCTGTATTGTGAGCTGTGCTATGAGAAATTCTTTGCTCCTGAATGTGGTCGATGCCAAAGGAAGATCCTTGGAGTAAGTAATGGAAAAGTTTTTATTCTCAATGAGTTTTAAAGTAGAATAATTTTTTGATATGAAACTCTTCTATCATTTTAACTTTTTATTTTCTTCTTGCTTTATGCCTTCTCTGCTTTCATCACTATTTATTATTGTAAAGCAAAACTAAATAGACCTCTGTGGAAATATATCGGACTCATGGGGTTAGGTTGTCTTTGGTTTTGTCTCACTGAGTGCTGGCTTGTCTGGTGAAAGTCTAGCCACTGTGGGGAAAAAATAATTTACTGTGGGTGTGCTTCCTCAACAGGAGCCTGTTTGCTCAGGAATGAAGAGGTCGCATAGGACCACACACATCTGAGTTCTCAGAACTGACACCTTCACTGTTTTAAATTAAATTCCATAGCTTTTATAAGAGCAGTATTTCCCCACTTGTCAGAGTTCAAGCACAGGACACTGATTTCATGAAATATATAAAACGTGAGGTTTATAAATGATATATTTTTCTTGAATACATACAATGTTTAAAAATATAATCTCAGTTTTATGAGAGTACACATGTGATGGAAAATATTTTTTTTTCCTTTTTTCGCAAAAAAAGGAGTAATTTAGGAATCAGATACAGTACATAATAAATAATGGTGAATACATGAATTTCTTGCTCTGGAATACCTGGTTTCTAATGAAAAAGTAAGGGCCAGGCATACTTTATGGGTGACTAGGAGCTGGAATCTGATTTCAGAGGAAGCCAAAGTACCTGGCTTCACACAAAAGTTGGAAATGGCCCTGCTGAACTCTAATATACTCTCAATGTGGAAATATGATAATGAAACTCTAATTATTGTTAATTGAGAGAATAGGTAATGTGAATTATTGAGTAGTCTTAAGATGTCTCTTAGGATATCCTTAAATATGTCTAAAACATTGAAGACACTTAAAATTATATATATGCCACCTGAAATATTTCTAGATTATTAATGTGCGTAATATGTTGGGAACAAAGAAGTGGAAATGGTTCAGACTGTACCTTCCCAAATGATAACAAATAATTAATAGAATATTCATTGATACGGTTTTAGTGTATCCGGGTATTCTGTGAATGCTAGAATAATAAAACAAAGTGAAGTTAGAGTCTTAGACCCAAATAAAGTTCTAGGAAATGGAAATCTCATACTCATTGCTTTGGAGATGGGCCAGAACTGCGAAAGCTTGTCTAGATTGGTTTTTAGTTATTTGATTACCTGTTAAAGACTTGTCTCAAGGATGGAAAGTGAAGAATATTTTGGAAGACTTGGGAGATAGTTTGATTCAATGTACATCTTCTACAGATGTTCATGGTGAATTTTTTGGATCTAAATGTCTGTTTCTTCCCATTGTCCTTCAGTGGTGAACTGTGACAATTTCTATGGCTAATAATTCTGTATTATTTCATTTTATTTTGATATTTTTTATAAAAGAAAGTAGTTCATGCAAGAACAATTAGAAAACACAAAAAATTTAAATAATAAATTTAAATGACCTAAATATTTACCAGTCACAGATAATTACTGTTAACCTTATGATGTGTTTTTTTCCAGTTTGCTCTTTATCAGTAATTTGTTTACAAAATTGTAACCGTGCTTTATGTATAATATTCTTTTTTGTGATAAATATTATGAAAGAATATTCACTATTCATCAGAAATTATTTTAATGGCTCCATCTGTCTCTCAATACAAAGAAATGATTTCTTGTAAAACCAACACCCCAAAACATCTTTTACTAATTAATAGCTGGCCCAAATCTTTTTAACTTGGTATATTTAACCATTGGGCCATTGCTGTCTAGAATATGGTCCAAATTTTAGACATTCGAGTCTGTGCTTAGTGCCATCTTAGCTGATTTCCAAAAGCCTAAATACGTGTTAAACTGATTGGATTATATTATATTTTTATTATATTTTATTACATTGTATACATTTATATACATTGTGTACACATAATATATATACAATTTTATATAATTATATACATTTTATTTTATTTTGTATTTTATTTTTTTTTGAGACTGAGTCTTGCTCTGTCGCCCAGGCTGGAGTGCAGTGGCTGGATCTCGGCTCACTGCAAGCTCCACCTCATGGGTTCACGCTATTCTCCTGCCTCAGCCTCCCGAGTAGCTGGGACTACAGGCATCCATCACCACGCCCAGCTAATTTTTTGTATTTTTAGCAGAGACGAGGTTTCATCATGTTAGCCAGGGTGGTCTCTATCTCCTGACCTTGTGATCCACCCGCCTCGGCCTCCCAAAGTGCTGGGATTACAGGTGTGAGCCACTGCGCCTGGCCCCATTATGTTTTATTGTTATATTATATATAATATTATTGCTTCTAGAAGGCACCAAAGTATAGGTTTGTTTTAATTTTTAAATGCTTCCTCCTTCCCCCAGAACTTTTGCAGATAATACCATAAAACCTTTGTAAGTTAATGTTTCCTGACACCCTTTGAGGAGAAGCAGAAAGTTTTGTAGGAAGCATTTATGAAATGCTTACTTTATTCACTGTACATATAATGTATAAATAACATAGTGATCGTTGTTTAAATTTACTGATTGGCATTTGTAAAGAACACACATCTAAACATGCATCCGTTTAGATGATTTGTGAGTCTGTTCTTAAGTATCTCCTGTTACTTTGAGGGAAAGCTCAAGACAAAAATGAAGTATGTGTGCCTACTTTGGATTAGCTTTACAGGGATTTACTGGTATAGATATTAGAGTAAACATTTATGTATTTATTGTCATCTTTTTTTACATCCAATTATCTTTCTGTAACAGGAAGTCATCAATGCGTTGAAACAAACTTGGCATGTTTCCTGTTTTGTGTGTGTAGCCTGTGGAAAGCCCATTCGGAACAATGTTTTTCACTTGGAGGATGGTGAACCCTATTGTGAGACTGGTAAGATCAGGGAGCCATTTGTTTCTTGAATTTTGAATAAAGGTAAAGCATTAACCCTTATATTACTATAAAGCTCATGAAAATATTAGGCAAAGTTATTTTCTTAATTGTTTTGGGAGCATTTAGTGTTACTCTAAACATATAGAGAAAACTATGTAGATTTTTTTTTTTCTTTTGAGACAGAGTCTTACCCTTGTTGCCCAGGCTGGAGTGCAATGGCGTAATCTCGGCTCACTGCAGCTTCCGCCTCCCAGGTTCAAGCAGTTCTCCTGCCTCAGCCTCCCAAGTAGCTGGGAATACAGCCATGTGCCACTATGCCCAGCTAATTTTATATTTTTATTAGAGACAGGGTTCCATCATGTGGGCCAGGCTGGTCTCGAGCTCCTGACCTCAGGTGATCTACCAGGCTCAGCCTCCCAAAGTGCCGGGATTACAGGCATTAGCCACTGTGCCCAGCCCTATATAGACTTTTTAATGTGACTTTGTCAAAACAGATATTCCTAACTTTATTATTAGAATTGAGAATGTAAGCATTACTTAGTAGGAAAAATATTTTGCTTGAATTCCCAATAATTTGTGGATGTAAATTCTACTAAATCATGTACCTTAAGGCCACTTCTTATAGTCCAGTAGTGAATTTTGTAAACATCAGAAATGTTCCACTTTAGAATATGATATTGATTTGCCCTTTAAGGCAACTGCCTTTAAAATAAACTTGAGATCCTTTTTTACTTTTACTGAATGAGAAGGTAATCCTGACTTGGATTGTTCCCTCGGTAAAATGATTTTTAATAAACTAGGCTCTAAGGACCTATCTACTACATTTGTCTTATCACACAAACTCAGAACGTTTCCTTTTCCTTCCCAAAGTCTGTCAGTGAACTTTAATAACATTTATTTATTAATATTGCCCTTACTTAGATATTACTACCACATACAGATTTCAAAATGTAGAACATGTTTCCTTTATCATGCTCTATTCACTACCACTGCATTCTCACTACTTTTATTGTTATTCTACCTCACAGTTCAAAGCTCTGTGCTGAAAGAAGGGGTTATTCCAGAATAATGGAGTTAAAGGAGCAGTCAGCTTCTAAGTTGAAGCTGTACCATAATCATTCAGCCCTTCTTTGCCCACTCAGTATTCTCTTATTTTCATCTTCCTTTCAGTTCCTTAGTTTGAACCAACCTGGATATATTCCAGACTGTCTCCCAGGAACCCCAGAAATTCCAGTGAAGTACCCCATGGGCTGTTTTGGGACAGGTTGGCCACAAGCTGCCTTCCTCGATTCAACCAGAATACTCCACATTTTGTAATTCCACTTAATTTTTCTGAAGAAAGAGTTGGGTTTTTTTGTTTGGTTTTTAGTTTGATTTGTTTGTTTTAGCAGCTTTGGAAGACATTTTGACTAACTGGCAGGTAGCCCCTGTCTAGCCAAAACACAAAACAGTCTAGCCTTAATACCATATTTAATGTATTTGAAGTCATATTTTAAAAGCCAAATAATTATAGAAAAGGAAAAACATTATTGAATATTTATTTAAATGTCACATCTAATGAACTTGGTCTATTTTTGTTCTTTTTCTTCTTTTAACCCCCAGACGATTTCTTAACCCAGTCTCCTCCATCTCAATAAATAACCCCACCATCCACTATCCAAAAACCTGCAGGCCGTGTTGGATTCTGCTTTTTCCCCTGTTCTTTCCTTATCCAATCTAAATAGTAAATCCTGGAAGCTCTACCTCCAATGTATATCATATTCATTTATTTCTCTCCATCTCAGCTGTCACTAAACCTAACTTGCTTTCACCCTTTGGGCATTGTAATTGGCACTTAAATGGAATAGCCCCTCCCCTTTCTTCCAACCTCCAAACAGCAGGCACAGAGCAGCTATAGAAATATTTTTTGAAATGTGAATTAGATCAAACTTAAACCATTTAGTGGCTTCCACTAGAAAAAAATTACACTTTTTTTTTTTTTTTTGAGATGGAGTCTCACTCTGTCACCCAGGCTTGAGTGCAGTGGCCAGATCTCCGCTCACTACAACCTTCACCTCCCGAGTTCAGGTGATTCTTCTGCCTCATATCCTGAGTAGCTGGGATTACAGGCACCTGCCACCACACCTGGCTAATATTTTTGTATTTTTAGTAGAGACGGGGTTTCACCATGTTGGCCAGGGTAGTGTAGAACTCCTGACCTCAAGTGATCCGCCTGCCTCGGCCTCCTGAAGTGCTGGGATTACAGGCGTGAGCCACCGCGCCCAGCCAGTTACACTCAGAGGGCCTGTTTTGCCATCCTCATCTCCTCCCACCTTACCTTCTGTCACCAGATTCTACCCATACCCAGCCCCAGGGCCTTTTTTTTGAACATGCCGAGACCCTTCCTTCTTTGGAGCTTTTGTGCTTACTGTTTCTTCTAACTTGAATGTTCTTTGTCAGCTTTTCTGTGGTGATTCCTCTTTATTCACGTTTCATTGCAACTATTAACCTCTTCAGAAAGGCCTTTTCTAATTTTCCTTAATAGTGTAGCGACCCCCAATTATTTTATATTAAATTACTATTTTCTTTCCTTCATAGTACTTATCATACTCTGAAATGATTTATTATTTATTTTTTAAATTCAATAAATCATGACATCCTCTTTCCAATGAGAATATGAGCCCCATGAGGAAAGCAACCTCAACTGTCTTCTTCACCACTGTACCCCTGCAGTGCCTTGAACAATGCCTGGCCCACAGTAGACTGCATGGATCTATGCTGAACAAATGGTGCTAAGGATACTAAACATTGACAGTTGCTAAGTAAGGTTAATCAAATTGCAAATTATAGCCTGCCTTCCTCTCCAGCTGAGGTTGGATTGACAATATCAGAGGCCAAAGGCTGAACCATGAGACAACACAGTAGTGAGAGGAGCTGCATAAAAGAAAATTAGGGCAACCAGCCTGGGCAACATGGTGACACCCTGTCTCTACTAAAAATTCAAAAAAATTAGTCAGGTGTGGTGGTGGGCGCCTGTAATCCCGACTGAGGCAGGAGAATCACTTGAACCCGAGAGGTGGACGTTCCAGTGAGCCGAGATCGTGCCACTACACTCCAGCCTGGGCGAGAGGGTGAGACTGTGTCTCAAAAAGACAAAAAAGAAAAGAAAATTAGAGCCAGGCACAGTGACTCAATGCCCTTAATCCCAGCTCTTTGGGAAGTGAGGCAGGAGGATCACTTGAGGCCATGAGTTCAAAACCACCAGGGGCAGCCTACCAAGACCCTGTCTCTACAAAAAAAATTTTTTTTTTAATTAGTTGGACTTGGTGGCTTGTACATGTAGTCTCAGCTAGTCGGGAGACAGTGGCAGGAGGATGGCTTGAGCCCAGGAGGTGGAGGCTGCAGTGAACTATGATCATACCACTACACTCAAGCCTAAGTGACAGAGCAAGACCCTGTCTCTCCAATGGAAAAAGAAAAAAAAAAGAAAATTCTAATTTAGTAGTAGAGAAACATCTTTTCAAAACTGCTTTCATTAGAAGGAAATCCTGTTAGTGTTCTTGTAACTGTAATCTATGTCAAGTAAATGGTCTTTTCTGGCTAAGAGTTTTCAACATGAAGTCATAAAATTGAAAGGAAAATACAGCAAAATAAATTGTGGCTAATATTGTTGTGATACAGTCTAGCTAGAAACTCAGTCATAGCACTTGTTCATGATAGTTTCCTGTAACATTTCTTTTTTCTTCCTTGACCAAGTCAGATACGCTATGAAGTTTGCCAATATCAGATTTTATTTTTCATCTCTGTTCATTAGTCTTATTGTTGCTAGTTATTAGAAGTCCTTTGTATTTCTTCAGAACAGTCTTGTCTACTGCTAACTGGACACAGAACAGTTCTTTTTTTTTTTTTTTTTTTTTTTTGAGACAGAGTCTCACTCTTGTCACGTGGCTGGAATGCAGTGGCGCGATCTTGGCTCACTGCAACCTCCGCCTCCCGGGTTTAAGTGATTCTCATGCGTCAGCCTCCCAAGTAGCTGGGACTACAGGCACGCGCCACCGCGCCCAGCTAATTTTTGTATTTTTTGTAGAGATGGGGTTTCACCATATTAGCCAGGATGGTCTCAATCTCTTGACCTCGTGGTCTGCCCACCTCAGCCTCCCAAAGTGCTGGGGATTACAGGCGTGAGCAACCATACCCAGCCAGAACAGTTCTTTATATGTATTTAGGCAATTAAGTAGTTGGTGAGAAGTGAGAAGTATTACATGGAAAATTATAATCAAGAATGTTAGGTTGTATAAATAATATTTATACCAAGGGAATCCTAAAACATGCTAAACATATCTTTCAAGCCAAATGTTATACCATCTCCTGAAATTTTTCAAATTCCTAATATCTTTGTCTTCAGCATCTCATCTAATCCTGATTTTGTTGCTGCCATCTAGGAACGATCATTCTAAAACTTCATCGTATTTAACTTATGTCTCTCTGCCCTGCCTCAATACAGATTATTATGCCCTCTTCGGTACTATATGCCATGGATGTGAATTTCCCATAGAAGCTGGTGACATGTTCCTGGAAGCTCTGGGCTACACCTGGCATGACACTTGCTTTGTATGCTCAGTAAGTAATGTCTTATTTCCTAATTAGAGGAGTAAAGTATGGCCAATTCTAGCTTTAGTATTTAATGGAAACATCAGCTCTTGTGTCTTTCAGTCCTTCAAACCTAAAGAAAAATTATTTTAACTTTTTTGTAAATTTCAAAAGTTGTTTATTAAATTTTTTGGCATTTTTGAAATTATTTGGCACACAGTGAGATCCTTAGCCCTTAGAGAAAATATAATTTAATATATTTTTGTCTATAAGGAGAAGCTATGTATTTCTTAAAACAGTAAGATTCCTTTACTTTAAAAAAAAAAAAAACAACAAAAAACCTCTGTTACTAGAGTGTTTGTTGTAGTTTTTGGAAATGTTAAGTACTTCTTAAAATATAAATAAATAATTATAAAAATCGATTCTTGGATTAACACTGGGAATAAACTATATGTTGAGTCATTTCTTAACAATTGCCCCTGGATATTCTTTTCTTTTTGAGACTATGGTCCAATAAACATGTAATAAAGTATTTGCCTATTCATTTGATATTTTAATATGTTTGGTTTTATGTTTAATGATTAGGATGGATTCAAAGATCAAAATATATAGTTTCTAAATGTAGGAAGTAAATATCCAGTAAACGTGCTCTGTTCAGGTGTTGGATTTTTTTAAAATTAGATTTAACATATCTACAGTTTTCAATACCCACTGTACAAAGGGGGCAAAAGTAATGTTAATCGATGCCTAATGATTTCCCCAAACATTACCATTGAACTTTTTATTGTTTACCTCATCCATCTCTTAGACTTCATAAAGTCTACAAAAAGCAAAAGTTTTAGCAGATTTACCTTTTCTGTTCTAATAAAGCTGTTCATTCTAATTAACAAAGGCAATAGGAAGAACAAGGAGCTATAAATGTAGATAGTGGACTGACTGTATAATCCTCAGCAGCCAGATATTGGCCTGGTTTTTTGCTATAAGAAACAAACAAAAGATATCTCAGCTTGAACACAAGGCAGCCCTTAAAAAAAGGTCTCAGGTATTCTGTGCCTGTGTTAACTGGGGGCAAGCTAACATTGGGCTTGAGAGGATTTGGTAAAGCAAATGAGTCTCTACAACACGAAGCAAAATTAAGACGTTTATAATTTGGGGAGATAAAATATATTTAATGAGCCCTCTTTCTATATTGATTTTTAAGTTAGGGATAAATCTTCCCTCTGGATAAAGAAAAGTGATGATCAGTGCTTTCTATAAATTAGAATACATTCTAGGAAAAAGCTATTTTTCATTGCTTTTGAAAGATTATATCTAATGTCATAGTAACCGTGAAATATTAGGGAGTCTAACTTAACCAACTAAAGTGTTTTGTCATATTATCCAGTGGGAGAAAAAATCACTTTCTCCTTCTCCAGCATACTTGATAAAATCCTCTTAATATCCTCTTAAATAATGCATAATATCCTCTTAAATACTGTTTCTTTTTCAGGTGTGTTGTGAAAGTTTAGAAGGTCAGACCTTTTTCTCCAAGAAGGACAAGCCCCTGTGTAAGAAACATGCTCATTCTGTGAATTTTTGAAAGTCAACAGTTCAAGAGAAGAGAAGAAATTTGAAGAGAAAAAGGAAAATTAAAATTACTAATTTTTAGATTCAATATTTATATGGAGTTTTGAAAAATAATAGTGGCCCTGAAGGAATAAATTCCAGCTTTAAAAACCAAGTCTGAGGAAATATTTGGCTTCATAAAGTAAAGAGACAGTTTGGCATTTATTATTACTTTTTCCTGTATTTTATGCCCATAAAATAACTTTTATAAAAAACAATTTCCTGATGGACTATTAAATTCATCTTAGAATAAATTAGTGAAGAATTTAATTTTAGAATAAATAATCCAATCTGAAATAATTATACCTTCTTTCCTTGTTAGGTAGTTATGAGTAAATCTGCAAAAGGCAATGAAAATGCCTTAAATTTTATCAATAAGAGAATCACTGTATTTAAAAAAAGAAACAAAACTAATACTTATCTTTAAAATAGTAAATAGGATTTTAAACAGAGAATTTTATCAGTAATAGGTGTCAGTTTTTTAAAACTTGCTTGTAGGCTGAGTGCGGTGGCTCACACCTGTAATCCCAGCACTTTGGGAGGCCGAGGTGGGTGGATCACCTGAGAGTCAGGAGTTTGAGACCAGCCTGGCCAACATGGTGAAACCCCATCTCTACTAAAAATACAAAAATTAGCCAGATGCGGTGGCACGTGCCTGTAATCCCAGCTACTCAGGAGGCTGAGGCACGAGAATCACTTGAACCCAGGAGGCAGAGGTTGCAGTGAGCCAAGATCGTACCACTGCACTCCAGCCTGGGTGACAGAGTGAGACTCCATCTCATTTAAAAAAAAAAAAAAAAATTGCTTGTATATTGTTTTTGCCTTACAATGGATCATTCTAGTAGGAAAGGGCAATGAGATTTTTTATGAAAATGTGTCATGCCAGTATTCTTTTCTCATTTCTTCCCCACTCAAAAATAAGCTATCATATAGCTTATAAGTCTCAAATTTTTGCCTTTTACTAAAATGTGATTGTTTCTATTCATTGTGTATGCTTCATCACCTATATTGGGCAGATTCTATTTTTTCCCTTCCCTGTGCTAAGATAAAGATTTAATTAAATAATCTTGGCCTCTAATAGTTTTCTGTCTCTTTAGAGAGAATAAATAGAGGGCTGGGTGCGGTGGCTCACGCCTGTGATCCCAGCACTTTGGGAGGCCAAGAGATCAAGATCATCATGGCCAACATGGTGAAACCCCATCTCTACTAAAAATACAAAAATGAGCTGGGCATGGTGGGGCGTGCCTGTAGTCCCACATACTTGGGAGGCTGAGGCAGGAAAATCGCTTGAACCTGGGAAACAGAAGTTGCAGTGAGCTGAGATCGCACCACTGCACTCCAGCCTGGTGACAGAGCAAGACTCGTCTCTTAAAAAAAAAAAAAAGAGAGGGAGAGAGAGAGAGTAAGTAGAAAGGAATGGGGCTGGGAATTGTGAATCAGAAGATTGTACCCCCCAATTTTTTCAATCCCCTTTTCTCAAATAATAAATTAGTTGAATCAGTTTCTGAATTATGCCACTGGCTGATGAAGAGTTGAGAGCTCTTTGCAGAATAATCTTTTTGTTTCGTTTTGTTTCTTCTTCTACATTTAAAATTTAAAAGATTGGCTTGAGGATGTGATGAAATTGAGACTTGTTGTGGTTTTCTCTCAATAATAAGTGAACCAATTTCAAATATGATCACAAAGTTTGAAAGCTCTTATTCACAGAGGTTTGGTAGTGTTGGGAGGGGTGTTTAATTACTCAGATTGGCCTGTTATTTTATTTTCTCCTTTGGGAAAAGAATTATGTAGATACCACATGGAGACAGGGAAACAATTGTGGTAAAACTGTGGATCCTGTTGCTATTTGCCCAGTGAGAAAACAGAGTCTGGTATTTGATTTGGGTTTTCTCTTTGTTTTCTTTTTGTTTCCAGAATGGGTGAAAGTCCATGAACCCCCTAAGTTATCATTTAAATTTGGTTGAGGCAAGGTGCTTTTATAGTTGAGACAGAGCCCTAGGTCCTTCCTGCCCCATCACTCACTTACGACATCACTTCCATTGTGTGCATGTTTGTTATAGAGGAGGTTTTAGGCTACAATATTTGTTTAACCTCCCTAAGAACTTTCAAGGCATCTGTCCTGAAAGCTGTTAATTTATGGTCTAGCAGATTTATATTATATGCAGATAATAATTAACTGGGGATAAAAGAATGGCAAGGGGTGACACAAAGTAGCAAACTGAATACTTCTCCAATAGCAACCCCAAGCTACCTCCTCACCCTGCATCTTGGAGGGAGGCAGGAAATTTCTTTTGAAATAAAGTGCTGGAACTGAATTCTGCATTATTTATCGTTGCTGCTGAAACCACCTATAAAAGACTTGCTGGCTAATGTGCATTGTCATATAATGTACAGTGTCACATCTTTACAGTCTTTTACGTTATAGAATACAAAATAAGTTGATGGTTTTGTTTGGTGTGAGCTTTTTTTGTTTGTTTGTTTAGTTTTGCCTTCATAGGTTATATGCCAAGATAGTATTTGGTAAGTGAATGGCATTTGGATGTTTTCTTCAAAGAATTTTATTTGACCCACATTTCTTATAAAGTTATCTTACATTAAGGATGTCATTTTCATTAGACCTTCTTTCTACATATTATTCATGAAGCATAATGTTGCATTTCTACAAATTTTATGCCTGAAAGGGTAGTATTGCTTCCTGAGATATCATGTTGTCTTTGTGCTTTGTCCAGCTCTTCCGTGGCGAAGCTTTATATCTGTTCCTAAAACAGTTAATCCTGTGAAATAAATATTGAACATAATCCAGAAGAATCTCTGTATTTCCAGTAGGGAATGCCGTATTTAATTCACCAGCAGTAATCCTTTAATAACTGGCAGAGCACTTTATTCTTCTGGTGAGCTCCCTGAATATTTATTTTTCTGATTATAAATTTTCTATATTAGTAGCATTTTTTAATTATTACTTCACTATAGAGCATTTACTTTTAGTCTTTCTAGATGTATATTTTGGAATGCTGTACTTGGCATATCATAGATTAAAATCATAATGCATGACTAAAAACTCTTTGGATTTAGTTCCCATTTTAAAATTTTTAGTGATAAGTTTAGATTTATAATCTTTCTCTGGACTTACATGGACTGAATGTTGCCTGCTGAAGTAGCAACCTAAAAAGTAGCCTCTCCTTATGCTTCTACAGTTGGCCCTCCATGTCCATAGGCTTCGCATCTGTGATTCAACCAACTGTGGGTCAAAAATATTTGGGGAAAAAAATGGATGGTTGCGCCTTTACTGAAAATGTACAAACTTTTTTTTGTCATTAAGCAATATAGTATAACAACTATATACAAAGCATTTACATTGTATTAGCTATTATAGGTAATCTAGAGATGATTTAAAGTATATGGTAGGATGTGCATAGGTTATATGCAAATACTACACCATTTTCTATAAGAGACTTGAACATCACGGACTTCAGTATCCTAGGGGGTCCTTGGAACCCATCGCCCATAGGGGTACCATAGGACCACTATAGTACCATGTTTATTTCCTATTAAATCAGGTTCCGTTTAGAGTCTAAAACTAAAACCTAATCATTTGGTCACAGTGTAAAAACAAATGGAAATAACAGTTCAGATCTTCAAAATATTAGTGTAGCATTATGTTTAAAATAATCTACAACAAAAATGTACCATTTTCAAGCAGTACTACATTAGGAGCCCTTTTATAGAAAATAATTTCTTTTTTACCCCGTTCCAGTGTGAATCTAGTATATTCTGTTAACATTTGTGTGGCATTTGAAGTTTGTCATCCCTATTGAAGGGGAGAGACTTTTCAGACATGAAGCAAAAGAAACATACTGAATAGTTTTACACAAATTTGATCTGGCTTCCATTTGTCCCCCTCATTTCCCAAATGTTTAAAGGTATTGGATTTGGATTCTCAATGTATAATTTGCCTTATCTGTTAATCTCTATCTTCTGTCTCTTTAATTTTGCCTATCTGCTGTTTTGCTTTTTGATATATTTTCTAATTAGAAGTCACATGATAAGTATAATCAGTATAGTAATAATACCATAATGTGCACATACTCAATAAATAAATGACTGCATTGTTGTAAATGAGCTCTCCTTTTTGTTGTTTTTGGTTGGTGAGTGGTTTCCATCAAGTCATCATGGGAAAAAAATCAAGTTCCATATTCACAGGTTAGGATAGGATGTAATAATTCTCAGAAGAACCCTTCTAGTATGATATTTGCTTATCAAAATGCCTCAGAAACAAAATATTGGAAAACACTGTCACATTTATTGTATTCTCTGTTTTTATGCTGTGCATGTAGAATGTACCCAATGTTTATGAATTAATAGATAAATAAGTTCAATTGTCTTTTTAAAATATTTATTGCTGAAATGATTTATTGGAACAACCTGTCATATCAAACATTATATTAGAACATAATCAAAGAACATAAATCATCCATATTTCCACATTTTGCATTAGATATTGGGATGCTTAATTCATCTCAATCTCATTAGCTGACGGTTCCACAACTAGGTAGGCTCACCTCTTCCTCATTTGTTTATTAGTTTGAGTAAGATTGTTTTCCAACTGTATAAAGACAAATGTTTCTGTTGCACGCTGTATGTTTGGAATAAAAGAGAAATTCAAGTCTATTTGCTCACAGTATATTAAACTCCAGAAGCCAAACTTTTAAGGGCATCAAGTCTGCATCTGACATTTTAATAGCTGCTGTTTGGTTTCTATCAATCACGTCATTGCACATTAAAATGCACCGACAAAATAAGAGATCTGTCATTCCTTCGTTAAGAAACAGTAATCCAGTACAAGATTTATAGGCTTAAGTCTCAACTGTGTGTTCACAATAAATCCCCATTCAGTGCTCAAACCAGAGCAAGCCTCCCTGTCGTTCAGTGTTTTCTAGTCAAAATGTCCCCAATATAAGATTATCAAAGGTTTTCTTACAGAACTACATATAAAATCCTTTTCCCAGCAAAAGCTTAATTTGGGTTGGCGGTTTCCCTTTTTGAGTAGTCTCAGACAAGATCTTGGTTATATCAGAAACACATAGGTACTGATGTATTATTAGCAGGCCTGGTGTTAATTAGGGAGAATTACCAGAAATAGTTTGCTTCGTGGAAATTTATTGCAGAATCACACTTGACTGATGGCAGAATAGGAGTTGCTGAGAGAGAGCAGCTCCCACTCATAACCACTAATTAATAGGGTGCCAAAATTCCACAGAGAAAGTTTCATCCCAAGTGTGGGAGCCTCCCAGGGAAAATGGTTCCTTTGCAGTATTTAAAATTTAACAGAGGAAAGGGGCTAGGACACATGGCTACCTAACAGAAATCTCAGACTGATACGGTTTTGTGCTGTACATATGAATGAGAGGATTTAACTCAGTAAGCACCGAGCCCAAATGTTGCCTGTATATTTATCGTACTAAGGAGATATGCATATTATTTTTAATGTGGCAAGTGCCTGATTTGCCAAAGTGTTCATTTTCTGAGGAGAATTTATAGCACTGTATACCATTTGTCTATAGTATTATATTACGGAACTTTTGAGTCTGTGATTTAGAATCTGTCTGGGTAAGTGGCAAGATTG